ACTATATGTGCCCAGTCCAAAAATGTCCAACCAGGAACTGTCAAAGAGGTTTAAAGAAGAGAAAAAACATTACTTCTAAACATTAAGTTCAGATCATTTACTAAAGAAAAACGAATGAGCTTCAGAGAGACTGTCTCCTGCTGAACTGAAAGACATGATCTCTCTGGGAGATTATGGGGAAAAAACCTCGGATTTTTCCTACAGCCTTAAACAGCTGCGGAGACATGACATGGTATCATTATAGGACTGTGGTTTTGAAAGCACTCTGAAAGTTTTCTAGTACAATTCCCAGTTTAAATACAGGTTCAAAAGCTAGGTCTATTTGCTTAGAGCCTTCTGCATTCAAGTTTTGAAAATTTTCAAGGGCTCACAGCCTCTAAAAAAAGAAAAAAAAAAATCTATTCAGAGTTATGACTTGCACTCTCCATAAAGCTCCTTTTATGTCTTATAACATGTCTCCACTGTCCCCTTATAAAACAACATAAAACCCCCTTTCAAAGAATCATAGAATCATTGAATCATAGAATTTTAGAATTGTTGAATCATAGAATGGCCTGGGCTGAGAAGGACCACAACGATCATCTAGTTTCAACTCCCCAGCTATGTGCAGGGCTGCCAACCAGCAGACCAGGCAGCTCAGAGCCACATCCAGCCTGGCCTTGATTGCCTCCAGGGATGGGGCATCCACAACATCTCCGGACAACCTGTTCCAGTGTGTCACCACCCTCTTTATGAAAAACTTTCTCCTGCTATCTAACCAAAACCTCCCTGTCAGTTTAAAACCATTTCCCCTTGTTCTACCACTATTCACCATCATAAATATCATTCCTCCTCCTGTTTATACACTCCCTTCAAGTACCGGAAGGCCCCTTGGAGCCTTCTCTTCTCCAAGCTAAACAAGCTCAAGATCCCTTAACCTTTCCTCATAGGAGTGGTGCTCCAGCCCTCTGATCATATTAGTGGCCCTCCTCTGGACCCATTCCAAGAGCTCTGTATCCTCTTTTATTCCTGTTTCAATAGAAGACATTTTAAAAGTAAACAGACATAGTAAGGCTAAGCAGTTTTAAATAATAGAAGAACAAGATACAAGCTGGCATCTCGATGCAGTCAGATAAGGCATGCTTTTGATTAGTGCTTCATCCTCCAGGGCAGGGTGAATATCAAGGGAAGTGGTGGGTAACCACTACTGTGTAAAGAGCTTGCTGTAACTCCACCAATCTGGAGCCAGCTCAATTGCATGAGGAAATCACTAAGCAGTGTAATGCTCTTTAACTGGAGAGAGAAACTGATGTGCAGCATCACACAGTGATGTGGGCAGACCGATAGCTTTTTCTTCCCCTGCAGGCTTTCCCTGCATGGGAGAGAAGCTAAGTTTCCAACCTTGAGGAGTCAGACAACAAAAATGTAAGATAAGAGAGACTGGACCCTTGTCTCAACTCAAAGCAGAAGGAGGAGCCTCCCACTTGCCCAAGAAGTGCCCCAAAAGACATTTCAGTTTTTCTGCTTTCCAAGCCAGCAAGGGAGCTGGCAGGCACACAACAGTGACAACCGTCCTTCTAAATATTCTCATTACTTCCAAGCAGTATTTAGAAGTAATTTCATATTTCTGAGATTTTGGTAATTTTCTACATCGTAAAATAAAAGTTCTGGTTGATTTTGAACAGAGACAGAGCAAAAGTTAATACGAGCATTGAAGTATTTGGTGTCTGCGCAAAGAGGTTCTTATATATCATCTTTAAATCAGTTTGTTTAGTTTACAATTCTGATCAAATGATTTTAAAGAAAGTAACTTTATCATTTGCACATATATTCTCCTTTTCTTTCTTCTGAGATACACTTGCTTCCTTCCATGTCCTGGAACTCAAACTTATGATGATATATACTGCCAAAGTCTTACAGCCGAAATAACTGAGGAAAAGAGAGATGTTTAATCTGCAAAATGCATCAACAGGATTGCCAGTGAAATTCAGACTCCAGACTGTTTATATCAGTGATGAAGTAGGAAGTGGAATGAACACAGCTTGAATTTCAGATAAATCACTAGGCATGCTGTGTGGGATGTTAGAAAAATCTTGCTTTGACTTATTAACTGAGCACATCTGATCTGGAAGCTTCAACAGAAAATAAATAAGGAGAATCAAGATGTCATTTTCACATAAACACTTTTCCAACCATGTTTCGCATGGCTGTTCTAAAGACATACTGTTTCTTCTCTTAATTGCATGTTTTACTGCATGTTTTTGTATGTATTCTATTGTATTTTCTCCTCAAAGTAAAGATGTTTATTTATTTATTGAATAATCAAGAAGAAGAAAAAAAAAGGATAAAAAAGAAAAGGAACTGAAGAAAGCTTTTAGCAGATACAGCATATTCAGCCTTTCCCAGTCAGCATATGCTTTTCGTTATGGTACCACTTACTATTCAAAGAGGTTAGAAGTAGCAATACCTTAAACATAATCTGCTCAGTATGAAGTGATTTATACAGTCATGTCAGTACGGTGCTGAACCTGAGCTGCAATGTCTTTACTTTCAGCATCTCTTGTTACCCTTAGTTTTGCACCACATTAATTAATCATCTCTTTTGGTCAAAACAGACTAGGAGTAGAACTAGTTCCCAGCTGCTTGCAACACACTATGAAGAAACACGCATAAAAGCCTTCACTGGAACAATTAGCTAGAAAGCAGGAGACTGCATCCCAGCCCCAATTAACACAGAAATAGAGTTAGTTAAAATACAGTTAATAAGACATACCTAAAGGCACACCTCCAAGCATCCGGAGAAGTCTGCAAACAGAAACTGAAGTATCTCTAAATTCTGGACCACAAATTAAAGCTGTTGTGGCAATATGGAAACTTACTATTCTTTTGTTGTTTCTCCTAAACTCAACAGGAATGATTCAGTTTAACAGCCTAGTTGAAGATATGGTCTTGAAAGTATGACAGTTAAAATGGAGTTATCATGATGACCCAAGACAAAGACAGACCCATGGCTGCTCCCAGAGGTACTGAAAGTCCAGGTAGGGAATGAAATGATAGAAAGAATTCCACACATCTCTTCTCTACTGTTTTCTTGTGAGCTAAATTCTATTGCTATTTATTGTAAAATGCAGATACTGAAAGCTGGTCTGCATTCAAAAGTAGAAAATTAACCCACAGTTTCAGGGTTAAAGAAAACCTCATGTCTTAAATCTCCCAGAAATGAAGTTATACATTAATAAACTTAGAAAAACTGCATTATAACCAAGAACGTACTGTACCATATTTCTCTAACACAGTTCTTTAGTAATACTGTCCCATTATAAAGTAAAATCAGAATGCCTTCTTAGGACCCAGAGGTCATTCAGAGTATTCACTGATGATTACAGTTGCAGTACAGTCTGTTCCTGAAGATTAAATCAGAAGATTGTTAAAGAAATAAGAAGGAAGAACTGAATAAGGGACAAAATGAACCTGTGCGCATAAAGTAAGGTACGTAAATGAGGTAAACTGCCCCATCTCACTGTTTCTGAGCATAGCACCAATTGCTATAGAGCTGTACTTTCTTGTCACTCAATAGCCTACTACTGTCACTTCAGAAATTACTTTAATGGGATACAGCTCTGAAAGCCAAAAGCTATATGACCTCATAAAACCCTATCCTGTTTGTGGCCTGTCACCAGCAGGTTTATTTTCACTTTTAGCATAAAACTCCAGTGTTCAGTGACACATTTTTGAAGAGCTATGGAGTGAAAAGATAGAAAACTTCTGTCTGTTGTCCCAAGAGGTCAGACAGGCTAAGCATATTCATTAGCTTTATTCTTATGTAAAAATATCTGAAAAAAAAATAAAATAAGAAAGAAAGAAATTGCAAATGAGTCTTGTTTGTTACATTTCTATACAGGCAGGCCCTTGAAAATTTCAGCCTCATCTTCTCTGCCAATGCAGCAGCCCAAACATTCCAAATGCCTATGAGAGATGTGGCACTGGTGTGTGACACCTTCACTGCTCCTACAGAGCCGCTTGGGCCTACACGCATTGCGTTCAGTAGAGCCTCATCTTGCTGCTGGGCTGGTGGAGACAGGTACTGCACAGAGCCCCACACCTCCCTGGGCTCTGAACAGTGCACCACTACCACAACAGCTTACCTTGTCAAGGAAGAAAAAAGGCAGCATGCCTTTCTAACACGCTGCCACTGACACAGCATATTTCAGATTTGAGTTTGTGACAGAAAAAATAAACCCAAGCTTGTAAGAAGATTTATAAGGCTAGGATACTCTGTGAAGCAAGAAAAACTTCTCTGTGAAGCAGCAGGCAAATTTAAATCCAAGATTCTGAGGCTAATGCTTTAGAGAGGAAAAGACATTTTACACACAGGCACACATTTCTTTCAAAAAACAGGCTCTGCAACAGGGTTGAATTAGAACATTAAAAATACCGTCGCCATCCCTTTCCCTCTGCGAAGAGAACGATAAGATTTAATAGTTACTGGTGTATTGCCCTGCATCAGATGCTGACAGCTACAATTTTGCTTTCATTTTAATTTTCTGCTACCAATATGCTGATTTAAGCAAATGAAGTTCCTGCTTGAAGAAATAAACTCCCATAAGGAGTATAATTTTAAGGGGCCAGAAACTATTTATGCTCATATTGTTAGATCATGCAGCCACCACTGTGCAATTAATAATTTAGAAGCATTCAGGGGGAAAGAAGTCTCTAGTGCTCAATTTTATCTCAATTACTCTTGCTCTCATAATATCCTTTCTGGAAGGAAATTACTCACCCAAGTAGAACGAGGCACAAATATGTGAGAGAACAACAAATAAACACTTTAAATACCAGGTAGAAAAATCACAGAAGACTTTGCTTTTTAAACAAAAATGAAATTTAGAGTCCTCTGAGGACATCTGTGTTAAAGAATTCTGCTCACCTAAAGTTACTTGAATCAGCAAAAAACTGAAATGTTGGATAAAGTAGCCCATGAGGAGCTTCTATATTCAGTATTTAAAATGAAGTTCAGGTACCTCTAAGCTTCCCTGCAGTTGGACATGGTAATGATCCCATCAGGTATCTCATTAAGTGGCTTGATTCTTCAAATTGCTGCAGGCACAGGACTTCCAGCAGAGCTTCCCCTGGATGTTCTGAAGACATGCACAATGAAACACTTGGTTCTTTCTAAGCAGGTCCATGCTAAAACATATAATATGCTGGTCTGCAAAATAGCGTTCTCTTACCAGCTACTACTGACGTTATGCAGTATGCTGAAGTAACATTCTTATTCAGCCTAATACCAATAAACTTCATCAGCATAGCTTTCTAATGTGTTGTCATGGCTTTGCCTTCTCACATCAAAAAGTAATGAATGTTACCCATTTCTAATTCCATATGGAATGTGATAGATATTGCTAGTGTGCAAATCAAATTTAAAAATGGAAATGAAAGGAAAATATTTTGTCTGCCATAAACAATATGAAGTTATAAGACAAAATTAGCAACTATCACTCTCTGCTGTATTCATTTCAATATGAAAGTGAAGGATAATGAGATACATAATTAATGCATCAAGCAATTAAGCTATCCCTGTAAACTGCTGCTGGAATCACAGGCCAATGAAATACCAATTAAAGTAACCCAAAGAACACAGTCTTCAAATAAACAACAACACTGTAGTCCATTCACTATGTGTATAAAAAGATTTTAGACTTTTTCCACAGAGAACATAATGATGCTAAGGAGGCCTGTATGTCAGCTGTATGATTTCAAAAGATCCAGATATGCGGAGACTGTGTATATACATACACACAAAATAGTACAAAACATAAAATGGAAGAATTTAACTAGGTCACTTTTAATCTAGCTTAGTTGGTTAATGCTTCAAAAAAAAAAACGTAAACATCATTGTGCTTATGCTGTGCTACACTTTAGTATAATCAACTACATCAATCAGGTTGAAATGCACCTATTTTAGAATTGAATGCCAAACAAAAAAGTTTCACCAAACATTGAAATTGAAGAGTAATCTCCAAAAATAATACCTGTTCACAGCTATATATACGCAAGATGCCATACGTTTTGTCTATTCAACCTAGTGCACATTTTCTTCTGGATTTATGCCTGTGGCAATTCCGTGTCTTCTTTCTAAGATTTCTGAAACTGATATCATTGTATCATAATCTTTATTAACAAATAACGTATAATAATGTTTTCCTTCAGAGTAGGAAACTCCACTAGCAAAAAGCTAGTTAAACATAAAAACAGCTAACTGTATGTCAGTCTTTTTCCCTGTTTATTAAATTGCATCATCCTAGGAATATGCCTTGATTTGCTCATATTCTGTTCTTGAACAACACAGAATGGTGCTGGGACCGATGCCATTTAACATTTTTGTATGTGACATGGACAGTCGGATCAAGAGAACTCTCAGCAAGTTTGCAGATGACACCAAGCTGAGTAGTGAAGTTGACATACTAGAGGGAAGGGATACTATCCAGAGGGACCTAGACGGACATGAGATGTGTCCCATGCCAGCCTCATAAAGTTCAAAAAGCCCAAGTACAAATTCCTGCACCTGGGTCAGAGCAACCCCAAGCATAGGGAACGGGTTGGAGAATGGCTTAAAAGCAGCCCTGAGGAGAAGGATTTGGGGTGCTGGTTGATGAAAGATTCAACATGAGCTGGCACTGTGTCCTGCTTCTAACAATCAGGACAGATGCTCTATTTGATCAATTTTGATCCAACTCACATCTGTTTCCATCATATTTTACTGTAAACACATCGTTCCTCTGTAGCTTAAGGGATTCAACACGCGTATCAAATCATCTTATTCTGATAAATTTTCTTGGGTAGTGCTAATGTCTTCAAAAATATTCCAAGCAGTGAAAATGACAATTGCTTATTATTGTTTTTGAGATTTACAGAATTTCTCATGCTGTTCCATGTAGTTTCTTATTTTAACTGAGAGACATGAAAACAAAATTTATTTCTCAAGCAATGTATGCAGTTTTTAACAAAAGCCATCTTACCTGATACAAATATTGCATGGGAAATGGAGAAAGGGAAGGGGAGGAGGAAGGAGAAGGGAAGGAGAAGGTGAGCAATAGACTATTCTGTTCAACTATGAAAGTTGAACAGAAAGTGGTAATTAATGGTAAAAATTATGCCTGTGTGAAATCAAAAATCTATCTGAATTAAAACTAAGTGTATTAGAAATTTGTGTTCCCTTGGAAATTTTTAAATTATAGTTGCCTGATTACTCTCAGTATTAGTTACTTAAACCTTAAACTAGAAAACTGCATTTTGTCCTCCAGTTCCTAAGGAAATATCTTGGAAGAATGAAGTTGCTCTTTACAGGGTTCTTAAAATTCTCATTTTCTGGAAAAAAAGTGACAGCAACAAAAACCTTAACCAGACCAGAGTAAGACAAGAACAGAGAGGTATAGGGCCACACAATAAAATAAACAAAAGTGATACCAGATTTACAAACAGAAACAAACTGATCCATGAGCATAAGTATTAAAACTAAGCCAGTTTTTCTATGGACTTGCTCTACACCCTCAGCATCATCTTCAGTACTGTCCCACTGGGCATTTGCAAGCAGCCATTCCTCCTCCAGATCTACCGTACAATTGTCAGGCTGGCCTCTAGCTTTTAAGATAGATAGACAGCTGACTTGTAGCTTTGTTCATGGCAGACAGCTATCAGTTCTAATGAAAGCTGATCGACTTTTCGGTAAGTTTAATGTATCTGCTGTAAAAAAGCAAACCCAGTTAACTGAAAACTCCCCAGAATGTCAGATTAATATATGTACATGAAAAACGCAGCCTTCCAATAGTGTAAATTACAGTTACATCAGGAAGATAATAATTTGAAATTTTAAGAAGTTTAAATCTTGTTACTTCTAGTTATCTTACTTCATATTGTAACATTCCCACAGTGTCAAATCTGTTTCTATCATTTGTTTCCAAAAGTTATGCCCCATGCAATCAAGTACTGTACGTCCTTGTACTCCCTTAAGCACCAACTACTCATTTACAAAGCATTTCAAATGAAGGTCATTCACCTTGACTAGAACAAAATACAACAGCAATGTAATCTTCTTCATCTCTTGTATGAGTTTCCTTCCGTGTGTCTCATTTTCAGCCCTTATTGCTTTCGTCTCATTTCAGATCTCCTGTTACAGCTGTTTTAGTGGGCTTATTTGGCAATATATTGCTGGAACTGCTTCAGTTCACTTATTGTAGGTAATTACCTCAGTGTTTTGGAGCCTTCATTATCTGCAGCCTGACAGTTTGCCATTCAAAGGAATGGCAACAGATGCTCAAGAAGCACAAAGCACGAAGGTGGAGATGTGAATTTGCATTAATTGGTGGTCTTTTCTAAGGGTGAATGTCTAATCTAGCTGATTAAAACATAAGAACCAAAACATTTTTATAAGTTGGCTAGGTAGGAGAAAAACCTATTTTCTTAACCCAGTTTGAATTTCTGTCATAGCTCAGTCATATCTTACAGTTTTATAGGTTAACACATCCTTTCAATCTTACACCAACTTCCATCAAGTACAACAAATCTTTCAAATTATCTGGCCACCTGGATTCTCCTTAAATAAATAGCAAGAACCTACCCTTTTTTCTTTTTTCTTTTTTCTTTTTTCTTTTTTCTTTTTTTTTTTTAACACCAAGTGCTTCTGTTTTATGGCTTTGTCTTTATTTCCAAATAAGTTCTTCCCCTTGCTTTGTTTCTTGAAAGATAATATCATAACAAAATAGAGAAGAATTGAGAAACATGCCAGCAGTTAGCCTAGCTATGATTAAGTACCTGAATGGAGTATCAAGGGAAGAATGGAGGGAATGACCGTCTCCATACTTAGCTTGAATTTTCTTTTCCTGGCTTACATTTCAGCTCCATTCAAGGCGAGGTTTCAAGCCGTGCATGTTCAGTATGAATGCTTAAATATTAATAACAATTAGAAAAGCTTCACATATGCCCCAGTACTTCTATTTTGTGCACTAAGTTATTTTGTGAGCTGCAGAGGAGAGGTTGTACAGCCAGTTTCCAGCACTCATCTTACAGAGATTTTGAAATGCATACACATGAAAAGGCAGCCCAAATTCATTCAAATTCATTTCTTTTTTCAAGTCCCTATAGTCATGTGAAGATAGACACTGAAAGCCAGGTGTGTGTAGAAAGTATTTTATACATTTAGTTTTAAATGATGCTATGTAAGACGGTCACACAGAAAATAATATTCACATTTTCTGTTTTCTCAGTCAGCATTCACAAATCCAGAAAGAACGTTCTCCTTCCACTGCAGTGAAATTCAGTATGAAGGTATACATACCTTTACACTCTGTAGAAGTGTGCATATTCAAAGAATTAGCTCAGTTGAACAGAGTTCCAGCTTCCACTCTCCAATCATAGGCTGTGATTCTCTTATCATTGTCCTTTCCCTGCTGAATAGAGAGTCTTAATTTTCTGATAAAAGGGAATGCAACAGCAAAGTTTGGATCAGAAGTTCAGCCTCAAGCTACCATCACTCCCTTATAAGTCCTCTGGACTCCTGTAATTACTAGCCTTCGTTATGCCCTTGTGACCAGGAGATCCATTAATAATTTACAGACTATTGAAAAACAAAAGTTAAAAGTACATATCCTCCAGGCTGCTTTATATGTTGCCCTAACCACAATGACAGCTCTGCTGTCAGATCAAGCAAATCAGGTTAAGGAAAATATGAATGACTGAATCGTATGGTTGTATCTACCTACTGTAAGCAAAGAGGATATGATGCAACAGTGGACAGTAAAACAACTTCTGCTTACAACCCTTTTTTTTCCTGAAAGTTTAGTTATGCTTTCTCAATGTTTGGTTGTGAAACAATAAACAAACAAGCAAACAAACAACTAGCTTAATGCAAAACCAAACATGCTATTTGTCACAGTGCCAAAGAGAAAACTGAAGATGCAACATTTAAATTTTTAAAGTGACACAATTTGTAGATAACCAATTAGCAGAACTGCCAATTCCAACCATACAGCACATCACAAAACTTCACATTCTTCTATGATTCTTCACAGCATGAATCAGTAAGACACTCTGTAAATCTGTCCTGTTTACTTAGCCAAAATAATTTTCTAGACTTTTAGATGCTCCCAATTTCTCATTTCTCAAGGAAAAAAAAAGCGTTGAAGCTTCTCTGAAGGGGAAAAAAAAAAAAAAAAGTCATGACTTTCCTAATGAATGAAAATGCTAGATTGACTGGAGGAATATTCTGTCTGCTAGAATGCTGTGGCAAAGCACTGAAAGAAAAGTCAAAAATCCTTAAAAAGAAAAAAAAAGTTTGTCCTGTTACTGAAAGGTCTACAAGTAATTCCTATACAGCTGTTTTCCATCTTTGGAAGAGCTTCATGAGCATTTACAAGAAGAAAATAAAGAAACATTGATAGAAACATTTTCAGTTGGGAATATCTATCATAGGGACTATTTTGCTATAGCTTTAGTATGCTCACACAGAGAATAAGTCTACTTTATAAGATCAATTCACATGCTTTGAAAAATTTATTTTCAGAAATGCAGTGCATTTTCTCAAGTGAGGAAGAGTAACAGGTGGCTTTAAAGCTAAATACATCGAGAACAACTCTTCAGAGTATTTCTGACATATGCCAGATCATCTATGAAAGAAAGGTAGTTGAGAACAGCATGGAACTGAATAGTTCTCTTGAAAGGGACATACAAAGAACACTGAGCCTAGCTGCCTAATTACTGCAGGGTATCCGAAAGTTAAAGCATGTTACAGTGTCCAAATGCTGTAAGAACACTGACAGGTTTGAGGCATGAAGTGTCCAAATACCATAAGAAAACTGACAGGTTTGAGGCATGAACCTCCAATCTAGGAAGCTATTCTTGCATTTGACCATTCTCACAGCAAGGTAATTTCTCCTAATGCCCAGTATGAATCTCCTCTGTTTCAGCTCTCCGCCATTTCCATGAGTTGTCATTGCTGACCAGGCAGCAAAGATCAACATCTTTGATCTTTGATTGGACAGCCCAATGCCCTCAGCCACTCCTCACAGGACATGCCTTCCAGACCAGCTTTGTTGCCATTCTCTACATGTTTTCAAGTACCTTAACATCCTTAGCTATTGAGGACACCTTGAACCGCGTGCAGTATTCAAGGTGCAGCAGCACCAATGCTAAATATAGCAGGAGAACCATCTCTCGTAGTTGATTGCCTGTATTCAATGCATTCCAAAATGCACTTTGCCTTCTTGGCATCCAGAACACACTGCTGGCTTACGCTGAGCTGCTGCTGCTGAGTTGCTCTCCAGCCACTCATCTTCTACTTAGTGCCTGTGTTCGGCACTGATCTGTCCCAGCTATCCAGGACTAGCTCTAGAACTGTGCACTAGGAAACACATCTAACAACTGATCACCAGCCAGCTGTAGCCTTGTTCACTACAACCTTCTGAGCTCTAGTGCTGAGCCAGTTCATCACTCAACACAGCATGAATCTGCTCATCTCACAGTTGAATAATCTGTCAAGAAGAATACTGCGACAGAAAGTGTCAAAGGCCATACTAAAATCCATAAAGATTACATTCACTGCCTTCCCTTCATTGCTAAGCATGTGACCTTAACATAGACTGAGATCAAATTACTAAGAGGACTTACCCTTCATGAACCCAAGCTGATTTATATATGATATCAGCTTTCTTCTCAGCATGGCTTTCAACATGCAGAATAATCATTTCCATAACTTTTTCAGAGATGAAGATCAGATATAGGTCTGTAGTTTGGTCTTCTCTCATGCCATATGTAGAAGACTATAACATTGGCCAGCTTCTATTCAGCAGAGACATCCCCAGACTCCCGAGACGTTTGGCAAATTGTTGAGAGCTGCCCAGCTATAATATTTGCTAACTCCTTCAGCACTGTGAGGCGAGTCCTGCCAGGCTGCACTGGCTTAGGAATGTTTAGCTGGTTTCCTTACAATTTCAGTAGCTGCACATGAGAAGTCACTGCTCCCACAGTCATGGCCCTCCTGCTCAGAGGACCAGGCAATACAAGAACTATAATTAATATTAAAAAAAAATGAGACAGATAGCATTTTTTTTTTCATTTAAATATACTGCAACATTTGCTTTCACAAAATAAGAGACCTGAAGACCTAAATTAATGTTCCAGAAAATGTAAACTATCTGTGGTTGTATTTAGTGTGAAAACATCAAGGATACAATGAAAATTACCTACTTTCTGTGGGAGAACATACTTTTGTCCTCAATGATCAGTTTAATATCAACGGATAAATCATAGAATGGCCTGGATTGAAAATGACCACATGATCATCTAGTTTCAACCCCCTGCTATGTGTAGGGTTACCAACCACTAGAACAAGCTGTCTCTTTAAAGTTTTATCCTTTACACAATCTATATCAGAAGTACTTACCATTTTTTCACATGGGATATTCTGTGTGGAACAAGTCCTGTTAATCCTTTGGTTTTGCCTGCTTTTTCCATCTTCTTTACTGATCAGTATAGTGAGGTGAACTACTGCATGCATACTTTTTTTTTTTCAGCCCTAGTTATAGTAGCCAAAACATTTTCAAATTTGTAGCACTCTCTAACAAAGGCTTCCTGTTGTTATAGGAAAGGAGAAATAACCCTGGAAGATCTTAGTACTCTTCCAAATTTATAGGTAAGCTGTCAAATAGAAAAATGCACTTCTGAAGTCAATGCCTAAAATCTGTATTTTCTTCATTGTACTCTGCTAGTATCTGCATTACATTATGGTGGAGTTCTATGCTATAACAAGCAAGCAGCACATTATAACATAAAAAGAAACAGAACCCCAAAACTTTACTGTTATCTTAGATTATCAAAAAGCTACAACAGAAGTAAAATCGGCTACTGTGAATAAGCAGACTATACTTAAAAAATTTTTAGAAATGTATAAAAACACTATTAGTCATGAAAGTAACAGACCCCAAGAAGAGACTTCAGTAAGATTTTTGAGACTTCACTTCAGCTAGGAATAGAGGGCATTATATTCAGGGTTAGAAGCTTCCTTCTGGCTCAGAGGTTAATTAAAACCCTGTGTTCAGCTACGATGACAGCCTTCATTTAAACTAGGAATTGCTTCTAAAAATAATCACGTCAGCTGGAAGATGCAAATTTCAGAAAGTTTTAAATTACCTTTATTTTAGATAACACTTGAGTTTGCTCCAAGCAATCTAAACGGTATTTCACAGAGCACACACAAATCCCAGAAGGTTGTCAATTGCTGTTGGAACCGTTTTGCTTATCTTGACAAACAGAACTGGTATCACCAAGTGAGACATTCACATTGTATTAGCTGCTGAACACAGCTTAGTGTAATGTACAAGCATTACACTACACATACAAAAAAAAAATGGACACTGTGCAATAACAGAAAGTTCTTCCTTTGCAAGAATCCATACAGAAGTTACACATCACTTAGAATGGGGAACAAGTGCCACCATAATGACAAGTATTTCTCAGAATCACAGATCTGTTTGGAAACAACCTCCTGCGATTATCTAGCCCAACAACCCTGCACAGGAGCCAATCCAGTTTTTAAACATTGCCAAGAATGGAGATTCTATACCCTGTTCTAATGTTTGATGTTCTTAATGTTAAACCCTTAGGGTTTAAAACAAAATAATTAAAAAACACAACTTACTAAGTGTCAATAGAATTTAATGTTTCAGTTTGTGACCATTTATTCTTGTCTAATCAGCTGGGCACTACTGACAAGAGTTTGGCTTGCTCCTTTTCATTCCCTGCCATGAGATTCTATACGTATTTCTTAAGTGCTTTCTCCATGCTGATGGAACATTCTGAGCTCTCTCTCAAACTGCATAAAAGATGCTCTGCCTCAGTCATCTTTATAACCTTGCCTCCTCCCTTGTTTTAATACATCTGCTAATCTCCTGTATTGAAGGCATCAGAAACAGACAGCACTACAGCTGTGTTATGTAGAGTTGAAACTGCTACCAATGCTGTACTTAATGTAGCCAAGGATCCCAGTGGCATTTTTGCAGAATGGGCTATTCTGTGTCACAGTCAGCTTGCCCATCATAAAACCAGTGTCCTTCACTCTTTTCCTTCTGACTGCATATTCCCACCTGGTGCCATTCTTTCAAATACACCAAACCTTGCATTTCCTCTTGCTGAACTTCATGAAACTTCATCCATTTCACTACTTTCTCACCATTCATCTTTGGTGATCCATCAGCCACCCATCCTAGGTTTTTGGTTGTGATTTTGTTGAGTGTATACTTAAAATCCATCATACAGGTCATTAAACTTGAATTGGACTGGCCCCATGGGTAGATCACTAGGGCCAACAAGACTTTCAATCCGCAAGACTCAGACGTTTGGGCAGTTTTTAATCCATCTTCAGTTACGTAAGCTATACTTCGTCAGCTTGTCTGTGATGTTTGTCTCAACTTAGTAGAATCTTCGACACACTATTTTCTACTATTGTTTGCAGAATGAACATTGCTATAATACAAAGGAAATAAGGAAGCCTTCGCAGTTCTAA